TGGTCTTCTAGGCGGATCTGGTCCTAGTCACTGTTTCATCCTCATTGACGCGCCTCCCCTTCTTATCGTATCAGAAGGAGAGGAACGCCAACAGTAATAGGCATGGTAGGCATGGCACCGCTCACGGGACAAGCGTGGAATGCTCGAATAAGCCAATTTAGGAAGTACATTTGCTGAAATGGAAGTGCACAACTGAGTATTATATGTGATTCTTATTTTCGCTGCTTTGAAACTGTTGAAATGTCTTCACTTCTACGTATTTCTGTAGGTGAACACTTGATGAAAAATGGTCAAGTTCCAATCGAGAGAAGCCAGAGGTTCAAAATGGAACACAGTCAAAGATTTCCTTCAGGCAGCAGCGGCTTGTTCGACCCTTCTGCGTAAACGTTGAGAGTCATTAGCAGTGGGCACATGGGAGTCCTGCAATGAAAGATAGAATGGTAGTATCAAAAAAGTCAAAGTATCTAATGTTGAAGGGGACCTGAAGCTCGGTTTGAACAGGGTTTCCTGGATCTTTAGGCCCTGCAGGTTACGAGCCTTACCACGGCGGCGTGCGCCCCTGGAAGTGCCTCATTTTCTCCTCCCCGTACTTTCTAACTTCCGCTGCCAATTGTTCATTTATTAAAACGATCTGAAGCCAACTCAGGCGTCATGTCGTACGCTGGAATCCTCAGCGAGGAGGTCATATTGCCTTTGAGAAGAAGTTTTCGATTGTTTACTTCCTCCTGACTTTTCTCGGTTTATCCTGTTTCAAATTCACTGTTATGCAATTCCCCCCCCCCTACCGCGCGTCCTTCATTCTCCACTTCGACGACAGGTTTGTGCCGGAAAAGGCAGAAATTTTGCGAAATTCGAAGAAAGTGGAAAGTCGGAGAATTTGAAAAGATGGTAAGATAGGGAATGAAGAAAGGGACGTAGCAGAGGAGAAAATTCTGAGGGGGAATTCCTATTTTGGAAATTTTCTCCAGCGGCAGGATGCCTGGACTCAGCATCCTTGAGTTAAGAGGATACCATGATCATGCTGGCGAGTAGTACTTGAAAAGTAATAAAGTGTCCTCACTTCATAAGCAGCCACACATAAAGGCTGTATGGCTGTAACGTCGGAATTTTTCACGTTTCTGAAGAGTGAATTCAATTTGGCGACGAGTTCCGCATTGGGTACCTTAATAGGTTGTAATGATGAAGTCTCGAAATTGGTTGAGGTGCAGGCTAGAGGTATGTATTGGAGCTATCTACGGTCAGATTGACCCTGCAGCACATGGCGTATACAACCGCCGTGCGGCGCTGTTTATCGACGGGGGGGGCATTTTGTATTATAATTGCTTCCCTGGTTCCGGTTTACAAATCTCACTCTGGTAAAACTTGTGAACGCTTGTGAAGCTGGAGCAAGATCGTCTAGCCACCATCCTAAAACGTGTCAACTCGAAAAAAGGGTACCTAGATGGGTTGGCAAATCTATGAAAAGCAGAATGCCCCCCGTCGATAAACAGCGCCCCGCTGTGCTGAGAGTGAACCTTACTTTGGGTTTTTCTTTACCCAAGAACGAGTAACTGACCACTTTCGCCTTCATTGAGATGAGTTCTTCAACGCCCCCTTGGCCGACTTCATCTGAGAGAATCGCACGGCACGTTGACTGTACACGAAGTGAGGCACGAGATTTATCTCGCAAATTCCTGAACACCTTCTTTAGGAAATCAAGATTTGAAAAAATTTTGGCATAGTTCGGCTTCGGAAGGGAAAGAGGGGCATTCTGCACTTCCGCTCTTCCCAGTGTCGAGCCACCAAGGTGGAATCTCGTGAAGCCATCAAGATAACAGTTGAACTTTGTAGAAGCTACTTGACAGTCTTGTAAAGAACACCTGTCAAATCTTATAAAACAGTGAATACGATAATGGGAAGCAGTGGAAGCGCAAATGCCCCTCCCATCCTCCTTCGCCGAACTGCGCCAAGAATTGATAGCTGCTGACCTATAGAAATCAGTGAGTTCTCTTACAACAGCATCAGCATCTCCTTTGGATTGAAGACTGTTCAGCGAATTGGTTTGATCGCTTGTCAACCAGAGTTTGCTAGCAAACAGCATATTTCGCAGGGCCTGAAACAAAGGGTAACTCGTTATGGATCAGGGGGCAGGATCTGGGCAGTAGTGTGCAGGTTTCGTAAGGGATAGCGCACTAGCCCGGGAAGCGGTCAAGACTTTTGCCGATGAATCAGCATTCTTGTGAAAACTTTAAAACTTTCGGGGCGCGGTCTGCGGCGTAGAGCGGCTACTCACTAGCTTTTATCCACTCGGTAATAGAGCCCGCTCATCTGCCAGTTCGGGGAGGATGGCAACTACTTTCCGCTCCGGATGCAGCCTAGGAAGCCAACGCTGTTTGGGACGTTCTTTGGGTCGTTCTCCGGGCAAATGGAACTGAAAGCTAGCCTCGCGATCCCCGAAAGAAAATATGGATCAAAATATCGCCCCAATCCAAAGGGTAGTAAATGTTAACTAGAGCCCAACATTTGAATGGTAGGGTTCAGGCCGCGCCTTACTGCGCATTCCACTGTTTAATAGCATGTCAACACGTTCAGCATGCGTTGAAAATATTTACACAATGATGACGTTTAGTCGAGAGTTCAAACAAATC